TGTTCCTAAAGCCGCTGACGGGTGGGGGAGACAGCACTGCTGGGAGGGCGTTTGCCTGCACACGGCCAACCTGGGTTCAATCCCAGGCATCCCATATGTTCCTCCGAGCCCCACCAGGAGCGATTCCTGAGAGCAGAGTCAGGAGTTAGTCCTGAGTGTCACTGGGTAGGGCCCATACAAATAAACAAACAAAAGTGCTGAACAGTGAAAAGCCATTTGCTCGTGCCCTCGGCTCACAGGAGACTGCCTCTGCTGAACAGACCTGCCAGGCTCTCCGAGACCAGAAGGAACCCCAGTTTCCTCCACAGGCAGCGTGTGCTAAGCCCTGGTTCACAGGGGGCCCTGCTGCTTGCCGCCCCCGACACGGGCAATCTTTCAAGGCTCGTGTCAGTCGGTGGAAAAGGGCAAGAGGGAAAGGCCTCACACAACAGCAAGCCGTAACGAAAGCTCCTGGTTAAGGAAGGTGGAGGATACACAAAAATTCCCACACCTGTAATTCAGAAACGATGAAAGAAGGGTGAAACAAAAGTCACGGTTCGAGAAAGAAGAGGACCAAAAAGGGTGAAGTGTGGGGCCAGAATAGTAAGTCAGCAGGGAGGGTGTCTGCCTTGCACGCAGCCAACCCAGGTTCTGACCCTGACACCCCCCAAGCAGCACAAGGAGTAAACACAGAAGATAAGGGGGAGGATGAAGCCGAACTTCTCAATGTCTGTTTGTGTGCATTTGAACTGACATCCTGAGGCTGCATTACTGAGCCAAACCATTCAGACACAGGATCAGGCGCCAGGCAGGGGCGGAAGAGCACACAGTCTTGCACGCAGGATACTCCGGGGTCTATTTCCAGCACCACCAGGCGTGGTCCTCGTGGCCTACACTCTAGGCCTGAGTGGCTCTGGGAAAAACCCCGCACCAGCACCTGAAACAGGGAACTGCACCAGGGAGAGGCTCGGATCCGCATGCAGAAGGCCTCACTGCAGCAACAGAACCATATGGTCCTCCCGAACACCACTGGGAGTGATCCCCATGCAAGGAGCCAGGAGTGATCCTCCATGCACAGTGCCGGGAGTGATCCTTCATCCATGAAGCCAGGAGTGATCCCCATGCAAGGAGCTGGGAGTGATCCTCCATCCACAGAGCTGGGAGTGATCTCCACGCATGGAGCCGGGAGTCACCATCGGCATCTTTGGGTGTGGCCCCCAAAGCAAATAAGCTTTTTATAAAATAAATACTATAAAAGAAAAACAGCCTTAGGTTATAACATTTTTAAAAATCACTTACTTATGGGCTTTAAATATTAAAATCACACACAACTATCAGCTAGGAAACAAAATACACTTGAAGAGTAAATAAGGAACAGGAAGCGTCTGAGAGCTGGAAACAGGCTGCTCCCGAGCCCCGTCCTTCCCACCTGAGCCTCTTGACAACCCCCAAGAAAGAGCAACGGGGAAAGAGGCGGGGGAGACAGCTGTGGGCCCGGGGTCTGCCTGGCTGGCACAAAACGCGGACTCCGAGCTTGGTACACATGCCCCAGCCCAGAACGGCCAGGGGTGGCCCTGCCAGGGACCCAGGGCCTAGCACGGGAGGATAGCTCTGTGCACGGTCCCCGCGGCCAAGCGTCACCCGGAGTCCTCCAGGCTCCCCGGGGGGCCCCCACCCCACCCCCAAGTCAAACACAATTGAAAGGAAAAACGGTGGGAGAGGGCAAAGTGCAGAGAAAAGAGTGAAACCAACAGAAAAGATTTAAAAACGGGGCTGGAGAGATTGTACAGCAGGCAGGGCCCTCTCCGTGCTCACGGCTAGCCTGGGTTCCATCCCCATCGGGTCCCCTGAGCAGGATGGATGCAGGGCCAGGAGTAAGCCCCGAGCACCGCCGGGTGCGGCCCGTGGCCTCCCCAAAGAGACAACCCATAAATCAATGAAAATGTAAAACTAAAAAAAGTCCATGCACACTCTCAAGGAGAGACCAACGAGACGGGTGCGTGACGGCTCCATTCCCGCCTGCCGGGCCGGAGCGAGGACACAGCCGCCCACAGGCTCCTGTGACGCGCTGTGGTGGCGATTTGGCAATATTGATCCGGATATAAAGCACCTGTGGCCTCCCGCCCAGCAAGTGCGCGTGGTTTTGTCCCAGGGCTGCACTTCTCCAGTCCATCATGATCTTTGCAGCAGTGTGTAATAACAATCAAAGCTACAGTCCAAATGTGCCCGAGTGCGGGCCCTGCTAAATAAATCATAGTTCTGCCACATAAGGCAATCGCACACAGGCCGAACGCACACAAGGTTCATCTCAAAGTGCTCCCAGGACAAGCCACAGAGATGCGTCGCCGGGTAAGAGTCGCAAGGCAGGGAGCAGCCCTGGGAGTTGGCGTGTGGACGGGGAACAGGCCCAGGGGGCAGCAGGCAGGGGCACTCTGCTGCTTCTCAGACACTTTCTTCCACATTTTATGTTTCCCCCTTTGGTTTTGTTCTGCTTCCATTTCAGCGTTACATCAGAACCAAAAAACAAGTATTGAAAACAATCCACTGACTTCAGACTAGAAACACCCTAAAACACAGCTAAATAGCCCCTTCCACATATTGATCTTGAACCCTGAAGACATTCAAGGAGGAATTTACATTGCTAAGGATCTCGGTGTTTTTGCCTTTTTTGGTGGGGGGGTGGCACATATGGCGTGCTCGGGGCTTGCTCTTTGCTCTGGGTTCAAGTATCACTCCTGGAGGTGCTCCTATGGGGTACCAAGGATCAAACTTGCGTCGGCAGTGTGGAAGGCAAGTGCCCTACCCACTGTACTCTTGTTCCAGCCCTGCACCCTATAACCTGACAGCATTATTCACAAGAGCCCAGAAACGGGAACAAGCTTGAGTGTCAACGACAGGTGAGTGGGTCAAGATCTGATCCGTCGACACACAGTGAAGAACTACTTAGTTGTCAAAAAGGATGAAATCTTAAGAGCGCAGGGAGACAGCCCGGCAGGAGTGCAGCCCACCCGGCCTGTGCGAAACATGCTGACTCTCGGCACTGTCCCTGCTGCCGTGTGAGCCCTGGACCCACACGATGATCCCCAGCACCCTGCCGGCTATGACACCACGTTCACGAGAGACAGTCAAGTGTGAAGCCTGGCTCTTGGCAACGACTCGGACGGCTCCAGGGGCGCGACTGCTCTCCTCGCGGATGGACCACGGAAGAGCACAGCAGACCAGCCAGGGGGCTCCAAGCTGCATAAAACAGACCAGTGGTTCCTAGAGAGAGCGGGGAGGGAGGGAGGACCGGGCCAGGGAAAAGGGGTCAAGTGCATGGTGGCGTCAAGACAGGGGTGGACAGACGCTTTATGACCACACCCCGTCACGGTCCAGACGGACGTCAACCAGAGGTCGGCGGGAAAGAAGACCGATGTTGGCAGTGACCCCTGACCACTACCTCCCTCCGCCGCAGGGGGACATGTGGCTCCTCCCTCCCTGATCCCACCACCACGGGCCTGAGCGACGCTGCTCACTGGCATTTGCGGAGGCAGCACTCTGGCGTGTGTGCAGCAGATCCCAGTTTCCGTGGACTCTGGCAGCTCGAGCCATCCGGCCCGCAAACCCCCGTTGTCGTCCACGGGTGGCCCGAACTGCCAAGATCTCCGCCCCCTCCACCCCCCCGCCCCGAGCCGCCAACCGGCTCTGCACTTGGTTCTTTTCATTCCGTTCCAAAGAGATGGGGAGTGTTGGCGCAGCCAGGCACACCGTTCCCGCGGGCTCCCTCGTCCAGCACCTCGACGCCCAGCCGGGCTCCCGGGCCTCAGCTGGGCTCCGAGTTCTCTAGTGAAACCCTGGCACGGCCTCCAGTCCCCTGCACGGCCGTGGGCCCCCTGAAGTGACCGTGTGTGTGTGGCCCTGTCTGCAGTCGGGAGAGGCTCCAACGGGCGTCTGAGCTCAGACGCAGACCTTCGGGGGGCAGAGCCATTTGCAGAGTCCACAGCAACTGGCTGGGCAGCCGGACAGCGGCAGGTGCCCAGGCCGCTCACATCATCTCTCCAGGAACCCAATGACCGGTGGGAAATGGCACACAGTCCAGAGACGGCGAAGGCGGGGCCGTCACTGTCAAGATTGCCGTCCTCCTCCTGAGTAGCCCACAGATATGAGACCCCACTCAGGCCTCCCCTCCCCGAGGCTACACGGACCGAGATTTGCACCGGACCCGGGACCTGGGATGGGCGAGCGCAGGGACACTGACGCGCCCATCCTTGGGGTCTGGGGCAGGCGAAGACGAGCTGCTGGGAAGAGGCCAACGTGACACCAGGAGGCCAGGGGCCCGCGGGACGGGGTCACAGGCCAGTGCGGCCTCATGGGGGCCACTCCCGCCAGCTCTGGTCTGTCCGGCGCTTCATTCTCAGGCCACAAAACGAAGCTGTGCCCACCCTCACCTGGCCCCACACAGCTCGCCCGGCCGCCGTGCCAGCTCGCCCCGTCTCCGCCCTGTCTCTGCGCCCGAGCGCCAGGAGAAGGTGGGCGCTGGCTTTCGTTTTTCTATTTCCCTATTTGTCGGCAGATTATCTGTGTCTATTCATCCCTCTTTTCACTGTACCCTTTGGACCGGGCAGAGAATAAAGGAAAAGTAGGCCAAGTATATTTAATATTTTACACCAAACAAGTTATTTGCTTAAGATGGCTTGGCCAGCCTCGCACCTGGCACCAAACCCCAGGCCGACGGTTCCAGCAGGAATTAAACACCAGCTTTAATGGGTGCTGTGTTCCAAGGCCCTAATGCCTCGGGGGTGACTGGCCAACTCCTTCACAGAAAGACAAGAGTGCGGGAGTGGGGGGAGGGAGTGTGTGTGAGTGTGTGTATGTGTGTGTATGCCTGTGTGTGTGCACGCGTGTGCGTGTGTGTGTACATGTGTGCGTGCGGGCACTCACACGTATAGATGGGTGGATTCCCGGGGGCACCGGCCACAGATGCTTAATTTCCGTAAAGCTTGTTTCATCCCTTGGTGGGGCGGCGGGCTGCAGGCACTCACCGTCCTCGTAAGCGGCCACGGCCAGCGAGCTGTTTATCTTCACGAAGGAGACGTAGGGCTGCAACCCGGGCTCGTCCTCGTCGTACTCCGACTCCAGAAAGGGGGCGACGTAGTCCCAGGTGCGCGTGTCCCACACCCGCACATCCCCGGAGGTGTATCTGCAAGAGAAGGGCCACTTCAGCCTCAGGTCTGCTCGCCCCCCCCCCCCCCCCCCCCCGCTGCCCCCGGAGTCAGGTCCTGCCCGTGCGGCCACACTGTTCACGCGGGGGGACTCCGACAGGAGACACTGAGCTTGCGAGAGCCAGTCACGTCTCACGTGCCCTCAAAGGTGGTGACTGCATACGGGAGTGGGCGGGGCAGGCTGGGGACCAAGCCTGGCCTTGGGCAATCCGGGAGCAGGCGGCTCCTGTCCACTCTCCTGCTAACGGGCCGTGTGCAGAAACATGCCCGAGGAACACTGTTTTCCCTCTCCCTCTCCTCTTCTCCCTCTCTCCTCCACCCCGTCCCACCCTCCCTCCCTCCCTCTTGCCCTCCCCTTCTCTTCCTCTCTCCCTCTCTTTCCATCTCTCTTTTTCTGTCTCTGTCTGTCTCTGTCTCTCTGACTGTCTCTGTCTCTCTCTCTCTCTCTCTCTCTCACACACACACACACAGATGCTAAGGACTAATGGTCTTACAGGCACACGCTTTCTAATACCTCACCCATGCATCAGATTTGACTGATTAAAGTCCCTGAAGACTAATTGATTTGCTGAAACAATTAAATCTTGCCTTTAGCAGCCAGACACTGCTGCCTTCTCGAGAAAGCTCCCGCAGAAATACACGAGTATCCCTGGCTGACCCACTCAGAAAGCAGGTGGCCCTCTCCTGGGGCCCTGCCACCCCAGCAAACGGCTCTGTCCAGCATGGCCCGGGAAGGACGGGCGCGGAGGAGCCCGGCCCTGCAGCTGCCGCCTGCCACAGTGCCGAGTCTCTCGCATCTGCTATGGGGGTCTGCAGCATGGGGCGAAACGCAGATTTGGGGATCTCCTGGACCTAGGGTCTCCCTTCTGGGCTTCCTACTCCCACACTCAAAGGGCCGAACCGAATTCTGGGAATCACTTGGTTGCTGAAGTGTAGACCAACTGCACAGAGCCTCCCAATGATGAGGCCAAAGCACGGGGGGGGGGGGGGGGGGGGGGCGGGGGGGTGCGGAGTAAGTGGGAGTAAGTAGAGCCGCCTTCTCTTTCGATTTTTTTTGAAGTTTTTTAATGAATCACCATGAGATACAGTTACAGACTTACAAACTTTCATGATTATGCTTCATTCATACAATCGAGTACCCAATTTCCACCAGTGCCCATTCTCCACCACCAGTGTTCCCAGTATCCCTCCTGCCACCCCCTGCCACTGTGGCAGGCACATTCCCTCTTTCTCTCTCTCTCCTTTTAGGCGTTATGGTTTGCAACACAGGTAGTAAGTGGCCACCGTGTTTGGTCCATAGTCTACTTTCAGCACGCATCTCCCATTCTTCCCCGGTTTCTGCCACAACGCTGGAAACCCCCGCAGTCTCCCTGCAGGGCAGAGTTGGGGGAGCGTGGGGAGCAGGTGGAGAGAGGGGCGAGCCTTCTCAGGTCGGGCTGCCCTGACCCTGGGCTCACACCGACCCTTCCGGGCACCATTCCCCTGGGGACCTGGCACTAGGTCACCGGGGCAGGGGTGCCACAAACTCCTGGCAGCCCAGACATCTGCGTCCACGTGTTCCCAGCGGGCAGCCACTACTGACAAACATGGCCAAGCGCCCTCCACTCCCGCAGTCTGCCCGACCTTCTTCTCCACGGCCAATCACACCTGGGCTCCCACGCCCCTGTCCCCAGCACCACTGATCCCCTCCCCAACCCAATGTCCCCCTCTGGGGCCATCGGATCTCGGCAGCCTCCTCAGGGCTAGCAGTGAAGAAGAGGTGGCCGGCTGGGGTATCCACAACGAATCCCTGGCTGGCTGGGCAGCGCCCCACTCTTCAGCCACTGCCAACCCGCAGTGCGGAGTCAGAGACAGACACACAGCGCTCGCCTTTGCCTCCTTGCAGTTACTTCCCGTGAATCAAAGCAGACTGCCATAAAAAGTAAGCTCAATGGGGTTGGAGCAATAGCACAGGGTGTTTGCCTTGTACGCGGCCAACCCAGGTTTGATTCCCAGCATCCCATATGGTCCCCTGAGCACCGCCAAGGGTGATTCCCTAGTGCAGAGCCAGGAGTAACCCCTGTGCATCGCTGGGTGTGACCCCAAAAGAAAAAAAAATAAAGTAAGCTCAATTCTTTTGATAAGCATTTGAGAACAGTGATGCCTGTTTAAATTCATGCCGATCTTTGTGGGCAAACCACAGACATTCTGCAGCAGGTGACTGGGGTGGGGGGTGGGGAAGGAGAAAGCCGGCTCCTTTCTGCCGGGGACAGAGAAGAAAGCGCCCCCCACCCCCACCCCCACCCCGGCGTGGGTACGGCAGAGCTCTGGCGTCGGAGTGGGGCTGACCACAGCAGGGCGGGGCAGACTCGGTGCCGATGGCTCCTGCTAAGAGAAGAAACTGGCATGGCGGTGAGGTGGGGTGCCGGCCTGGGCAGCGGGACCTGGACCAGCCTCGCTGTGAGCTGAAAGCGCTTCCCTGCCCTGGCCCGGAGAACAGCTCTGAGCGGAGGGAGGCGAGTGGCAGATGCCTTCATGGCTGCCTAATGACAATTACGCGCAACCAATTAAGACAGGGCGTGACAGTTGCATTGTCGTGAGCTTGTGGGCCCGGCGCTGATGGCCCTCTGATTAGTGGTCATGTGGAGCACAACTGCGGTGAACACAGCCGCTGCTCGAAGGACACTAAAGGAAAAGGGAGAGAGAAAGGGGTCTTTTTGCAAAGGAGGAAGGCTGACCCTGCCCGTGGCAGGGGCCCGGGCAGGGTCAAAGCGCTCCCCCCACTTTCCTAAGCCCCCTGCTTCCACACCCGGCAAGGATGAGTTCATCTCCAAAGAAATAGGTCAGAGACCAGAGCTGATTTTCTGTTGAAAGGACGGGAAGAGAGTCTCTCCAAAGCGCCACACGCCAGAGGAACTGCCAATCCCAACTGATTTACCAGAGAGCGTTCGTTAACATACTAGTAAGTCTCTAAGAAGCAGAATACATACTTGGACCCCCTCCCCACCCCCACCCCCCAAAAAAAGAACAGCAGACACAACTGTTAAAAAGCACCATTAGGGGTCGGAGCAATAGTACAGTACATATAGTACAGTACAGTACAAATAGTACAGTACAAATAGTACATATAGGCTTGCCTGGGCTGACTGGGTTCAAACCCTGGCCTGGCAGTGATCTCTGAGTGCAGAGCCAGGAGTCACCCCAAGAATCATCGGGTATGATACGAAACGAGCAGGAAGGCACTTTTCACTGTTTTTCTCACCGGTGTGGGGGGTGGGGGCAAGGCAGGGCCAGCACTTGCCTGCTGAACAGTCTTTATCACGGGGCCCCCTAGAGCCTGCGGGACGCTGGGCAACGTCCTGCTGATTGGAAAATGCTGAGGAGCAAATGCCAACGACCTGGGTGAGAAGGAAGGAGTATTCTGATCGCCCAGCTGAGATCCATAGAGGTCGCCCGGTTTTCCTTGCTCCCTTCCGCCAAGAGCCTCTCCGCCTTCTGGGCCGTCAGTGTCTTTAAATAAATTCGGCTTTTAAGAACAGTCCTCACTCCGGTGCAATGTGGGGAATCGATCGTTCTCCATGCTGTGACTCAGACTTGCAGGCCTCGGTCCCTGCACCCCTTCATCAATCCCCCTCACACACGCACTCAAGCACACACACATGCACACATGCATACACATGTGCACATGCATACACACGTACACACACATATACCATCCGTGGTCCAACCGGAAGGCATGAGCGAGGCAAATGGCCCAGGTGCTGGCAGGGAGCGTGGGCTGGGCACAGGTGCCACAGGTGCTTCACAGGGGCCACAGGACACCATCGGCAACGGCTCCCACTCACACAGCCCGCCGGGAGACACAGGCCTGCTCCAACAGGAACCCTGGGCTGAGGCCTCGGGCGGGAAGAGACCCTGGCTTCCGGAATGCAGGTCACGCAGTGGTGAAGGAGTGGGAGCATCCCCACCCACCCGCCAGAAACCAGATTCTGTGGGGGGAGGAAGGCCAGCTAATGTACACGCTGCCCGCCGCCCGCTCCCCACCACAACCCCGGGGGTCTCGGCTGAATAACCCAGTCGGCTCTGCATGCGGGAGGGAAGCCCCTGGCCCCGCCTGGGTTCCGGTGTTGGCTCTGCCCTTCCCCCGCCCCGTCTCACAGCCAGGAACGTCCTGCCTTCCCCTCCTCTCCTCTTGGTCCTCTCAAGCCAAGGATGTGCCTCCTGGCCCGGGCAGAGGCTGGGGGCCAGTACACACCTGGGCGCAGCCAGTGGGGAGCAAACGAACCTGCAGGCTTAAGCTCAGGAGGCGGAAGTGCTTTGACGTCTACGGACTTGAGCCCGGAGCAACGGGACAGCAGGTAGGGCGCTTGCCTGGCACGCAGCTGATGTAGGTCTGATCCCCGGCACCCCATACAATCCCCTGAGCCCTCCCGGAGCGACCCCCGAGCTCAGAGCCAGGAGCCAGCCCTGAGTACTGCCAGGTGTGGCCCCACCACAAGCAAAAGTCTAAGGGGCGACTGGGAAGAGCACGACCCTCAAAGTGCAGAGACCCCGTTTCAAGACACCTCACTGACTGAACGTGCAGAAGCCCGAGAAACTGGTCACGCCACTCCCTCCTTTCCTCAGGAGCGCCGAAGACGACAGATCAATGGAATCGAGAGTATTTACTGTTTTCGATGAAACACGACTGCGTCGTATGATGCAATTAACAAAATGAAGCCCAGCCCGCAGCCCCGTCTTTCCGTGGAAATGCACCGCTGCAAACAGCCCGGGCAAGCGCAAGACGCATCAATTGAAAACTGATGAAGCTCTTAATGGACCCTACGAGAGAGATGCACTGCACACTTAAAACTGTTTTCCATACATCTTGGTTAATCACAATCAATAGCGCCGGAGTCGCTGACGCTCATGCAGGGCCCCTGGAGCTGAGGCCCTGCCTGGCGTCCCTTGGAGAGCCCGAGACGGGAGACGGGTAAATGCAGTCATGAGCTCACCAGTG